TAGAGATTTCTCTTAAGAGAGCTCTGAAATCTTGTACCACTGGAAAACAGCAAGTGTTGAGGACATCAGAGAGTGGTGGAACAGTTATTGTTCAAGTTTGAATAGTCACTGAGGCATGCAAAGAATAACACGACACACACACACACAACACACACACACACACACACACACACCACAGCAGGAAAAGGTGCAGTCAGTATGGAAAGTGTATAAATGTTGAAAAGCTAGGCAGACATGAATACAATACTGCACTAAATTACTATGTAAAAGAACCACACACACACACACACACACACACACCACACACACACATAATATTTGCAAACAAGAACGTTCTTTAGTCTTCAGCCAAGTCCTCAGATGTTGATACTGAAAAATGGACATGAAGGAGAGTATGGTACAGAGAATGTCGCTCTGTTTTTCAAAATGACTATTAACAAGAACACCGACAGCAACACCCATCTGGGTTCCTCCTCATTGCTCTGATGGTAAGTGACACAAGCGACCGGGGCCGTTTCATACTTTCAAAATGGACATTTGTACAGAGCAAACACAACTGGAACACACTAAAACTTTTACCATTTAATTACTTCAACTAGAAGACATGTGATACCTTCTGTTAACTTGTTTCTGATCAACTGAAACGAAGCAAAAACACACTGCTGAACCTCACTGACTACTTCACTTTAATATCGGTGCGGGCTGCATGGTGGCAATGGTTTTAAATTAAAACAAACCTCTCCAATTGGTTAAGTTCCATTCATCTCCTTTAATATACTGGACAGGAGCATGGCCCACTTGCCCAGGGCCTAGTAAAATGTCAGCTTTGGCAAGTAAATCTAGAAACTCACTCCGAATTGGCCAAGTGCCTAAAAAAGAATAACACACTGCTTTTTCCAGATCTGATGTATGGAAGTAGCGAAGGAGTGAGCCATCTTGCTTCCTCCTCCTGCTCTGCTGCTCTGTTGAGAAAGTTGCACTTGGCGCGAGTATCAATCGGGCATCACGGTGAAAATGGCCACAAGGCAGCAGGTAAAGACAAAGTTCAGCATCTCACATGGAAGCTAAGACACGAACATCAACGTTGAAGTGTATGCACAATATTCTGTGTTCAGGTACGTAACATGGCATACATTTCTTGCATAGATGTCGCCAAACAAAACTAACCCTTTGCACAGGAGCTATTTTAGTGAGAACTGCCATTATCTTATGTGCTCCAGTCTCACAGCCACCGTCCACCAAGCAGGACAAAGGGGCGAGTACACCAACCCCCACCATACAGCATCCCCTCTACACACTGTATCAGCAGAGACAGGTCCTGGTACTGGGGAGCTCTCATTCGGTTTTAGCTTATAACCCCAGTAAGCTACTTCGCTGCTGCTGTCTGTCCAATTTCCAACAGCAGAACAGTCTGAACTTTATCAGCTCTGCAGTGCCAGAGGCAACACTACCCAATCAGGCTTCAGAATCATCCACCTGACAGGACCCGAGCAGCAGCTCAGACACAAGTGCTCATATTATACCAGTGGTTTAATGTTACACAAGCACTCTCAATCTCACTGGATTTGAAAAGATTTTAAATGGAAAGCGTGTGGAAATGAATTAGCTAATGACAGTCCAATGATTCCCTGTTCCCCAATGCAACAATGTGTCCATTATTTCGCATTTTGAAGAAAACACACTCCGGCTATGTGCTGAATTGATTTTGATCGGAAACTATTTGATTAATGCATGATGTAAAATAATGCAGGCTCTGTGCTGATGGTTTTTTCTTTCAGCCGAGCGCGCAGCCAATCAGGGAGCTTGTTAACAGGCAGGAGGCAGCAGGCTCACCTTTCCTTCATAGAAACACTTGGCGAGCGTCACCACTGCATCACATTACAGCAACACACACCAACACTGAGCTGGCATCACTGCACACACACAGACAACCGACATGACACACACACACACACACACACACACACACACTATGACCAGGTCGGTAAAACAGTGGTGTGTGATTGACAGCTGTAAAAGTTACCATCAGCCTCTCACTGCATCACACACACACACAAAGGACACCGTCAATGCAGCAAAAGTGGTTGCCATAGAAATAAACAGACTGCTTAGTCATTCTAAGAGAAGATGGATGCGTGACTTAATAACCAGCTTGTGTTATTCTGCTATTAAGATTTTCCCACCTACAGTCACTGCAGAGGGGTGTGTGAGAGTGTGTACGTCTGTGTGCATGCATCAGCTATTTATTCTATTCTGACGTGACACACAGCGTGAGGACGGAGGAGGAAATGTGACACTGCTGACAGGGTGTGTGTGCGTGTTCAGTTGATGTAAAGGACACACACACAAGTGCATCCCTCCAGTTAGGATGGTAGAGCAACTGAGCTAGTGAGAGACATCATGAAACAGTCATGTTAATAGTATGACATTCATATGATACACCTTTATGTCCATAAAGCAGCTGAAAACAGACAGCACTAGAGCAGCTATGATGCTCCAGAGCGAGAGACTGCAGGACGGAAATAATATTAGGACTGTCAGGAGGAGAAACTGTGAAAAATATGGTGAGTCACTGCAGAAACACAGAGACACAACATTAGAGTAATGGGATGCGATCCTAATGGACAGCAAGAGTTGCGTGGAGAGTAACGACAGAAAGAGCTGGTTGGCTGGCTGCCAGACTGGTCCTGAGGTGATACAGCGTAGCGTGGATCGAGCGGTTATATAACCAGCTAGCTGTCCCTCTCCGGCTCTGATGCCACCACCATCTTAACGGATCAATACCTGGGTGACATGACAGTGCATGAGGGTTCATTTGGACCTCATTAGCAGTGATATACTGTTAACTAGGACACCACTTACTTCTACCCAGAATGTAAATGACTACAATTTGTAGTATAGTAGAAAACAGAGTTAAGAAGGGTTAGTCCATCACCACATCCCCGATTATTAGGCCACATCACTGAGTAATTACTGTACTGATATGTTTTGGTATATTCAAACTAGTCCAGTAATAGTATTGCTCCCCACAGAGCACTGCAGTAGTGCTTGCGAGGGAGGAATGAAGTGTTTCCAATCATAGAAATGCAGGACCAGAACACGTGATCTGTCCATACATGGCTAGAAATGTTCACACAGTGAGTTGTGCCGTGGTTTTACTACGTGAACCGACATTCTGGAAACAAACGATAATGGACCGGAGAACTGACTCAGCCCTTGTGTTCAACCTCAAATGGCAGTTTCTTCAAAAATGCTGTTGGTTTTAAGACAGTTTTTGCTGAGAATACTCCTGAGAGATTTATTAAGATAAAGCAACCAGTATTGGACATGGTGGACCCCTCTGGACTGGACTTCGTTCTACCTTAGTAATATGAATGTAATTATATCATCCTTGTGGTGTGTGTGTGTGTTTTCTCCTGTTTTGTATGGTGTTGGTAAAGTTGAAACTACCTTCCAGGAGTTCAAAGACAGAAAACTGTGGTTCTGTCCATATCTGGAACTGGCAGTATGTGTAATTGTTGCCAGAGCCTTCATGAAAGCTTGAAGCGATCCAAATCATAATCCATATGTGAAAGTTTATGAACGGCTCCTACGGGGCCTCTCTCTGCCTCTATGTGATCTGTTCGATGTGTCGCTGCTTTCTAAGCGGCTGTATGATCCTGTTTACACAGGCTGAATCTCCTCTGGCAACTGCGACGCCTCGGCTCCGGCGGCTGATCTTCATCACGAGCAGGTTATGTCATCCTCCAATGTTATTAATCCATTCCTGGTCACACTTAGCTCCACTGGGAACCTCAAGCGACTAACGGATGTAAGAGTGAGCGAAAGGATACAGGAGGTTACTTTAATATTACTAGAGCACATCATGACTGCTCTTCATTTAGGC